GTCGCCCGCGTGCTCCTGCTGCTGCTGCGCGCCCGCGCCACCCCCGGCGCGCCCCGACCCCGCAGCAGCAGCAGCAGCAGCAGCAGCAATGTAGTCTGCACACTCCCGCCACAACTCCGGCCTCAGGGCCCCCAACTCCTCAAGGGCCCTGTGGTAAGTCACCAAAACCCTCGCGGTGTCTCCGATTTGCTTCTCGCTGTCGAGGTACTCGCCCCACACCCGGGCGATTGACTGTAAGCAGCAGCAGCAGCAGCAGCAGCAGCGGCAGCAGCGGCAGCAGAGGAAGCCACGGACGTGCAGCGCACGTGCGCACGGGAGGAGGCCTGCGGCAGCGGTAGTGCTGCTTGCAGAAGGCATGTGGGGACGACATGATGCAGCAGCAGCAGCAGCAGCAGCAGCAGCGAGGCCAGCAGCAGCAAGGCCAGCAGCAACGCGTGCAGCAGAAGCTGCCAACAGCAGCAGCAGCAGCGGCGGAAACAGCAGCAGCGCCAGACCCGTCGCAATGCCAGTAGCAGCAGCAACACACGCAGGAGCAACAGCAGCAGCACCAGCTCCCACAGCAGCAACAGTAGCAGCAGCAGCAGCAGCAGCAGGGTTTGTTACATGTATTTGTCTGTTGGCCTGGTCCTCTTCAAGGGCGTTTTGGACTTTCATTTCAAAAGCTTTTCTGCTGCGGCTCCATTCAGCAGCAGCAGCAGCATGCAAAGAAGCCCCCACAGAAAAGGCAGCCTCGCTGCCAGTGTGCTCCAGCTCCCAAACCCTGCACCCAAACCCTAAACCCTAAACCCTAAACCCTAAACCCTAGTGCCTACGCTCTGCAGCACGAAAGCCAGGCAGGACGGGCTCAGCAGCCGCGCGGACAGCGCCGCAGCAGCAACTGCAGCAGCAGCAGCAGCAGCAGCAGCAGCAGCAGCAGTGTATGTACACCGCACCTGTACTCATCCAGCAAATCGCCGAGGCCTCCGAGAGGCAGCTGCAGCTGCCTGTAGAAGAGAGTGCGGATGCGAGCGATTTGGAGTTGGACCTGCTGCTGCTGCTGCTGCTGCTGCTGCCTGCTGCTGCTGCTGCTGCTGCTCTGCCAGTGCCGCAGCAGCTGCGCCTCAAAGTGCCGGTAAGCGCCCCACAAACAGGGGCCCTCGAGTGCATGCAGCTGGAAGGTGCAAAGAGCATTTTCAAAAGCAAAACGAACTTGCCATTCTCTGTCTGCTGCTGCTGCTGCTGCTGCTGCTCCCTCCAGGTGGCGAATGTACTGCAGCCACAGAGACACAGACGGCTGCAGCCGCAGGCCCAGCTCCAGCAGCGCCTTCGCCTCGTCTACGCTGCTGCTGCTGCTGCTGCTGCTGCTGCTGTGGCCAGGTTGGCTGCCGGCGCTGGGCGTCGTCGGCGTGCTGCTGCCCGTGCTGCTGCGCGGGATGCTGCACAGGCTGCTGTTGCTGCTGTTGTTGCTGCTGCTGCTGCTCTGCCGCCGCTCAGCGTCAAACCATTGCAGCAGCAGCTCCTCGTCGATGGGGCAGTGCTCTGCGTACGCCCGCTGCACTTCTCGAATCTGTGCACCCAGCAGCAACAGCAGCAGCAGCAGCAGCAGCAGCAAGCAGCAGCACGGTTCACTGTCAGCGCCTGCGGTGCCCGCTGGCGCTGCAGCACACGCCACCAATCGTTTGCAGCTGCAGCAGCATCAGCACAAGCAACGACAGCAGCAGCAGCTCCAACAGCAGCAACAACAGCAGCAGCAAGAGCAGCAGCAGCTCGCCTTGGTTGTGTGCCCCAAGGCTGTAAGCACACGGAGTGCTGCTTCATAATAGGCAGCTTTCCAAGGGTCTCGCTTTATTTGCTGCAGCAGCTGCTCCGCCTGCTGCTGTAGCTGCTCCGTTTCCTGCTGCTGCTGCAGTTGCTGCTGCTGCTGCTCCAGATCATAGTCCCCGTTAGCTGCGGCCCGCGGCAGCTCCGCGACACTGTCTCCCATTAGGCCTCGGTGCTGCAGCAGCAGGTGCTGCTGCTGCTGCAGTTTGCGGGCGGCGCTTTAGGAACTGTGTTTGCTGCTGCTGTTGCTGCTGCTGCTGCCGTTGCTGCTCCTGCTGCTGCACACTGCTGCTGCCTCGCGCTGCGCTGCGCATGCAGCCGTGTCTTCTGCAGGTTATGTTGGCGTCGAAAGCTGTATTTTTGGGAAGCTGCTGCTGTTGCCGCTGCAGTGAGCAGCTGCAGCAGCAGCAGGACCTGGAGCAGCAGCAGCAGCAGGCACGGCGTCTGCTGCTGCTCTCGCAGCAAGTCGTCAGCGCGGTAGCTCACGAGGGCAATTTGTAAAGTAAAAAAGAGCTGCGTCTCTACAGTGCGCGCGTCTGCGAGGAGCAGCAGCAGCAGTTGCTGCTGCTGCTGCTCCTCGTGCTGCTGCTGCTGCAGCTGGAGCAGCAGAGCACCGCAGCCCCCAGCTGTCTCACTTGGGACCTCCCTCTAGTCCTTTTCGAAAACTCTTTTATTAAAAATTAATTAAAAGTAATTTAATTTAATTCTAAATGTCTAATTGCAGGACATCTGCTGCTCCGTCTCTGCTGCCGGGGGCCCCAAGCCCACGATGGGGCCCCCCTTGCTGCTACGCCCGCGCTGCTGCTGCTGCTGCTGCTATCAAAGTACTTTGGCTGCTCGGGCCTCAGCTCCCCACAGCCAGCAGCAGCAGCACATACAGTTGCTGCTGCAGTAAGCTGCGCTGTCATTGCTCACTTTGCTGCTGCGGCTGCTAAGTCATTTTGCTGCCAAATGCATTTCCCTCAGTTTGTAAAGGCAGCAGCTGCAGTTCCTTGCTGCTGCTGCTGCTGCAGGGTCTACGCACACCTGAGCCCGCCGCACCCGACTCGGCAGCAGCTGCTGCTGCTGCGGCTGCAGCGGCGCTGCTGCAGATGCAGCTGTGGGGCTACCGCCACAGCTGCAGAG